GATTTCTACAGAAACTTGGGCTGGATTATTCTGAAGTGTTTGCACCTGTAGCAAGACATGAAATAATCAGAATGGTGATTGCAATAGTTGCTAACAGGAATTGGCCTCTGATGTATTTAGATGTAAAATCTGCATTTCTGAACGGTCCATTAGAAGAAGAAGTTTACGTGTCACAACCTCATGGATTTGTGAAAAAGAATCAGGAAGGGATGGTGTACAGATTATACAAAGCTCTATATGGATTGAAACAAGCGCCCAGAGCTTGGAATCAGAAGATTGATTCATTTTTCAAGAAGCTAGGCTTTCAGAAATGTGAGATGGAGTATGGTGTTTATGTTTAGCATACTTCTGAAGGCAATATGACTCTGGTGTGTTTATATGTTGATGACATACTGCTGACTGGAAGTTCTGAACAGGAGATAGCCAAGTTCAAGAAAGTTCTGATGAATGAATTCGAAATGACTGATCTAGGCAAAATGACATACTTTCTAGGGATGGAGTTCAGATATTCTAAGAAAGGTATCATTTTGCATCAGCTCAAGTATGAATTAGAACTTCTAAAGAGATTTGAATTGAAGAATTGTAAGATTGCTGTCACACCTTCTAATACGAATCAGAAACTGGATTCTGACTCTGATGGAAAAGATGTGGATGCTACAACCTTCAAACAGTTGGTTGGTTCTCTGAGGTATCTGTGCAATTCCAGACCTGATATTTGCTATTCTGTTGGGATGGTTAGTAGGTTCATGAGCAAACCTAAGTGGTCCTATTACCAAGCTGCTGTCAGGATTCTCAGGTATATCAAGGGAACTCTGAAGTATGGAGTGTTATTTCCTTCTGGAAGAAAGAATGAGTTAGAACTTCTGAGTTATTCAGATTCTTATTGGTGTGGAGATAGAGTTGACAGAAGAAGTACCTCTGGATACTTGTTCAAATTTCTGGGAGGTCCCATTTCTTGGTGTTCCAAGAAGCAACCTATTGTGGTGTTATCAACCTGTGAAGCTGAATACATTGCAGGTGCTGTTACTGCATGCCAAGTTGTGTGGATTCTGAATCTGTTGCAGGATCTGAAGATTAAAATAGACAACCCTCTGAAGCTGATGATTGACAACAAGTCTGCAATTAATCTTTCCAGAAACCCAGTGTTGCATGGGAGAAGCAAGCATATTAAGACCAAATATCATTTTCTGAGACATCAAGTTCAGAGTGGAGTGTTAGAAGTTGTACACTGCAGCACTCAGAAACAGTTGGCAGATGTTCTGACGAAAGCTATCAAGACTGACCAATTTCTCAGACTAAGGGATGGAATTGGTGTTACAAGTTTTGATGGAATATGAATTAAGGGATGATATTAGAAGTAATTCATATTTATTAGTTGTACTATTTTCTTAGCCCCTAAGTTTGTTAGAGGGTATTTTAGTATTTTTATCTTATTCTAGTAACCCTAGTTTTAACTTATAAATAGGGTAGCAATCATTGTAATGTTCAAGTGGTTGTGTGTAGCCGTCATTCTCTTAATAGAATATTTCTCTATTCATCATGTATTCTACCTTTGCACCAACACTGCGGTGGTGGTGGTGGTGGCGACTAACATCACAAGCAACAAGACAATGATGAGCTTCATCATATTTTTTTGATTGGAGACTTAACTTGTAGGAGAATATTTTTTTTGATGGTGAGTTGAAATGAAGTGGTGGTGTTATTTATAGGAAGAAAAGACTTCTGGTAGAGAGAAAATCATTAATATATTAATGAAATTAAAATATGAAAATATATATTATAGAATTATAATTTTTATTTAGAAATTATTCAAAAAATTATGATTCAATACTTTAATATAAAGGTTTAAAGATAGTGCATTGTCAGCGTAAGACAATTTTACACACTCAACTAATCAGAATGTCAATAATTGTCATGTATTATCAGTATTTTAAAAATATTTTTTTTTCTTCTTCTGATATATGGTTGTGATTGGTTGATAGTGTAAAATATTTTACAATGTTACTGCATTTCCTTTTTTCTCTTAATATAAATATTGAAGTTGTATGGGTGATTTTCGAACATTTAAATATATAAATGTAAGTTAAGTGTTAAGTAAAATTTGATAATTGATTGGCACATGGCGTTATCGGTTGTAGCGGAGCGAAAATTACTTATGAGTTGAAGAAATTGAAGATTTATTGTAGGTGTAACCAGTTAGCATTGAATAGATTTGTTTTTGTAACAACTATAATTGGTTACAGGTTTAGTGTAACAGGTTACAAGTTCGAGAATTATGTTTTTTTTCCAGTTAGTTGATTGTGTAACTTGTGTCTTAATCAACTTGTAATGTTTGTATAAATGTCTTAACGAATTCTTCTTTAAGCAGCAAAATGCATGCAAATTGAAAATGTGGCGTTTTCTGGCGAGAAGGCTGTTGAATAGCGGTTATTTTCAATTTTATTATAAATAAAGTCTTAGCAGTTAGGATTCGATGTGTTCAAGCTTGTACAAAAAATTCTAAATTTACTCAAAATATCTGTGCGTGAGAAACAAGTGGTTCTTACTGAAAATATACGTGTGAATACCATACTTTGTACTCTTTACCAGATTATTTAAGATTCTTCTTATCATTTATATTTGCTACAATTTACTTTAAATCTAATTTTGACATTTAAGATCTTGTCACTTACTTTAAAGCCATTTACTTTGTAATTTGTACTTCTGCACTTCTATAAAGAGTTGTAACAATTCCTTAACAACTTTTAAGAACATTTTTGTAATGTTCATAATTAACAAAACCAAAAACTAAACAATAACACATGTTCTAGGATCAACCTAGTCGACCCTGCAAGTAATAAAAAATTTAACAAATTTGAAAGACTAGCGGTTGTTTACCAATTTCAACGGTAAACAAATTGGCACGCCCAGCGGGACTGACGTTGTTAGTTAGAATTTGTGAGATATATTTAGAAGTCCTTCATTTCTGGTTTCCTTTAACTTTGTTGCATGAGATTAAGAAGTGATAAAATAACCACTAATAACGAAGCAATACGAAGAAGGAGACATGTAAGGATGACGAATCTGCCAAATAATAATGGAAAACAACTCCCTCTTTCGACGGGGAAAACTACAACCATATCGTCTGTGTTTGAAGTAATTACATCTACAACAAGTATGACGACCATACCATTAAATGCTTATAGTGGCCCAATTTTGTCTCTTGTGAGGACGTAGGGTAAACCAATGACTCCTGCTCCAGTGGGAACTAGCATATTCAGACCTTATGTGCCTAGATTCACAATGCCTTTAAATGGTCGAGACCAGCCATATGGCATGCTAATTTCGATGATGACAAGTTTACACAATACGAGCACAATATTCTCTAACCCAGTGGTGAACACGTTTTCACATACTTCAAGTCTTGTCAAATGTTTTCTTTCTTATAGACACTTTATTGAGTTCACTTGAGATGAGGTTTGAGTTAGGTTCCATTTGGTTGTCATCATATGATAGTAAGTCCATCAAACCCTAATATCCTGGTTTGCATAGATATCAGCCATGTTCGAGACTCCATTAAATTTTTTGCAATCTTGAACTCCTAACATCACATTGTCTTTACTTTGTGATTCGGTATCATTTGTTGCTTGGATGAGATCCTCTAGTGGTGGATCTCCGTCAAACATTGCTTTCGTGTGGGTCTCATTGATGACAAAGAATATATGTGGTGCAAGATCGGAGACATCAACAGAGTCCTTTGGTGCGATGTAGGAGGTTATTTCTTCCGTCTTGTGATGATTATGGTAGATATCTGGCTTTGGATCAGAAATGATTTGTTCTTGGAGTTTGATAGTGGAATTTTTCGGGAATTTGATGTTGATTCCCACAAATATCGCCACTATTTCATATTGGAACCATAATTAATGTCGATTAGTGATGTAAGATTCTGAAATCAGTGAAGGTGATCTCAGATATAATGACGGGGGGTGGACTTGGAAACTTGCACTCCAACGCCCAAACGAGTTCCAAAGTTCAAGATGTATATAATGTAAAATGGAAATCAAATTAGTATACCTTGAATCTCACGTGTGCTGATTATATATGTTGAATAATCTTGATTGAACTATGTATAGTTTAGCCTTCATGAGAGCCTTTGAGCGGCACACAACAAATATCATTACTAAATACTCACTCTAATTCTTAATATAAAAAATTATTTTTTTATATATTAAATAATATATATATTTGGTGAATCGTCCTATACATTAATTATTTAATTTTAATTTAAAAAATAAACATTTTCTTAATATAAAAATTGAAAGGGAGTAATATTTTAGAAACTATAATATACTATTCTGACAAAATAAAAATAAATAAACATGGAGACTTTATTTTCTGTAGGGAGATTCTATAAATATAATTGAGTTAGTTGAATTTTAGGTATCCTGCAATTTTTGGATAAACAATTTGTCTGTACTAGCCCAATACAAAATCATAAAATTCCAACTTAAAGCTACTAAATAGTATATACATCAATCCAGCTAATGCACACAAATTCAACGACTAGAAATATTAAATGGAATTGTTAATTTGACACTTGCAAGTTTATTTAGTAATTTGCACCATTCTAGAAGACCAATTTATGACTAAATATTAAATTAATTAATTAATTAATAATTGTTCCATACATTTTTATATATGAATAATTGTTCCATACTTGTAGCCAGCTTTCGCTCCTTTCAAATTAATAACAATAGCTTGGACTTCACATTGGCACAGATAATTCACCTTTTAGTATAGTTTATGGCATATTTCATCTGCAACCACTGTATAAAATATCTCTAAAAAATTGAGGCGACTTCGAGTGCAAGTAACTATGTTTTTATTAATACATGAAATCAATATCCCAAAACATGGACACGAGTTTATAGTGTGATCAATCCAAACATTAATTGAAAATCAACAAAGATAAATAAAAACAAAAACAAAAAACCATGACATGAATCCTTCAAAACCAACAATTACTTCTTAGGAGCAAACTTAGACTTGATTTTCTGAACCTCTTTAGTCCCAATTTGGAAAGCTTGAGTCAAAACATTATCAGGAACAGGTGGTGTAGCATTAAACAACGTAAGAGGAATATTAACCGTCCCTGGCAATTGACTATTAAACCCTGCAATAACAGTAGCAGGTTCCCAACCATTGTTCTTCTGGAAATGAACCAAACCTTTAGGAAACACAAACGTTTCACCTTTGGCAATGGTTTTTGCAATCAATTGATTCGTTGTTGTTATGAACCCGACATCTAGTTGACCTTCGAGAACAAACACCATCTCTGTTGCGCGTGGATGAGTGTGAGGTGGGTTGAGTCCACCGGGTGCGTAGTCGATTCTTGCCATAGAAACACCGAGAGTGTTGAGTCCGGGGATTTTCTGAACATTGGCTCCTGTTACTAAGGAACCAAATGTGTTGTTTGTTGCACCTTGTTTGACTAGGAGGTTGGAGAAGAAATCCTCTGCGGTTACTTTGGAAGCTGGTTTGCATGTGAATCCATTCACTAAAATTGCTGTTAATTTCAAATAAGAAAAATATTTTACACGGTCAGAAATTTATACTTTGAAAAACTATATAGAATAATTTTTGTTGCTAATCATGCTACAGATAAAATCGTATTTGCAAAAAAATTTATGTATATAGTTCATAAATTTAAATTGACAAAGACTAACTTTAATCCGAAAGAGTCATGTCAACAAAAAAGCCAAATCAAAGGAGTTGGTAGAAATAATAGAGATATTTGGGTTAACATGATTTGAAAGAAAATAATATAAGAAAAACTGAAAAAGGATTGAATATAATGATTAAGGAGAAAAATGAAAATGAAAAAGGAATTAATATGGATTTTATAGGTAATAATAATTAGCATGAAAGTGTATTTATTATATACATAAATTTAACTTATACCAGAAGCATAGTCTGCGACACAAAGATCTTGAAGAGCATCCGCATCTGCTGCGGTGGCGGTGGTGGCGGTGGCTAACACCACAACCAACAAGACAGCGATGAGCTTCATCATATTTTTCTGACCGGAGACTTAATTTGTAGGAGAAGATTTTTTTTGATGGTGAGTTGAAATGAAATGATGGTGTGCTTTGATTATTTATAGCAAGAGAAGACTTATGGGAGAGAGACAGAATCATTAATATATTGTATAAGGATTTTTCTAACTTAAATGAAAGTGAAATAGCAAAATATAAATAATTATAAATTTTATTCAGAAATTATTGAAAAATTATGATTCAATACTTTAATATAAAAGTCTTTGGATTCAATACTTTAATAAAAATTATTGAAAAATACTTTAATAAAAATTATGATTTTTGGATTCAATACTTTTAATATATTTATATATACTTTAAATGTTTTTGGATTCAATACTTTAATATAAATTATTTTAAATGTTTTCGGATTCAATACTTTAATATAAATTATTGAAAAATTATGATTCAATTCTTTAATAAAAATTATGATTCAAATATGATGTTTTTAAATATCATTTTATAAAAATCGTTGGGTTCGAATTAGATTTTAAATTGATTTTTTAAAATAATTCAACTCAAACCATATATATATATATATATATATATATATATATATATATATATATATATATATATATATATATATATATATATATATATATATATATATATATATATATATATATATATATATATATATATATATATATAAAATAGATTTTTTTTAGTATATATGTTGTGTTAATTTAATATTAGATGATATTTATTTTTTTAAATACTACTCATTAGTTTGATTTTATTTATTTATTTTTATTATTTTTATCTTTTAATAATAATTTTTGATATAGTATATTATATATTATATCAAATTTATTATTTATTACTATTTTTAAAATATTAATAAAAGTTATAATTTGTAATTTGGGTATCCAAAAGACGATCTAGATTAAACGGCATGAAATTAGATTGGGTCGAATCAGATCTTTTTAATTAATCATTCAAAATTGAATCAAACCGCGAATAAATTTACTTTTAGATTGAATGATATTTTGTTTCAAAATTGATTCAAACCGAACCTCGAACACCCGTATCACATATATCATAGAAGTGATTAAATGTCATAGGTTCAAATTCACATCTTTATATTTAAGGAATATAGTCAACTATATTTATTAATAAAACAGCCATATGGAGTCTCCTCTGACCAAGTTGAGGAATTAGGAACGTTTGATGAGGAAATGGAGGCTGGAAATCAAAAGGCCAAATTTAATTTCCAGTTCTTTTTTTTATGTGTCTTGATTAGCAAACCATTATCATGCCTGTTTTGGAATTGTCATGGGGTTAACATTAACAGCAAAGCTTTCTTCTGTGGCTGTAATTATTACATCCTATAAGTGATCAGATATTTTGATTATTATGGAAACTCGGTCTGGCCCTGGTAAATTAAATTGGATTTTTGCTCGATTAGGCTTCTCTGGCTTCGCCTTCTCGGACTCTAGTGGTTTTGCTGGTGGCATTGCTATAGGCTGGAAAACCGAAAGAAATCAAATGACTATTCTTAAGCAACGTTTTCAATTTCTTCATTCCAAAATCACCACTGAGGAAGGACATCTCTGACACTTAACTGTTGTTTATGCCAGGTCCTCTTGAAGACGAAAAAAAGCGCTCTGACATGATTTAGCTACTATTGCTAGCACCATGTCCACAAGGTGGGTTGTTTGAGGAGATTTCAATGATGTCCTTCATCTTAATGAAAAAATAGGTGGTCTTTCTATTAGAATATTAATAGTAATTCATATTTATTTAGTTGTACTATTTTCTTAGCCCCTAAGTTTGTTAGAGGGTATTTTAGTATTTTATCTTATTCTAGTAACCCTAGTTTTAGCTTATAAATAGGGTGACAATCATTGTAACTTTTATCATGTTTTGTAGCCGTCATTTTTAATAGAATATTTCCTTTGTTCATCATTTATTCACCTTTGCACCAACAATTGGTATCTAGAGCTCCGGTTCAGATTCATTGGGAAACACGGGAAACACGAGTGAACGTGAGGTCTTGTGTGTTTGATTTTGATTCTTAGATTCGTGTTGAATCTTGAACAAAATCTGATCAGAATTTTATTCTGTGGGTTGGGAAACACTGTGTGAGAAATTTGAGTGTATTGTGCAAGGTGAAGATGAACGGAAACGACAACATGAACACCAAGCTTCCAGTATTTGACGGTAAAAACTGGAATCGTTGGATGATCCAAATGCGTGTACTGTTTGGTGCTCAAGATGTTTTAGATCTTGTCACTGATGGTTATGTTCCGGTAGCAGCAGATGCAACGGATGAACAGAAAAACGCGCAGAAGGAAGTAAGGAAGAAGGATCAGAAAACATTATTCTTTATTCATCAATGTGTTGATGTAAATGTGTTTGAGAAGATTGCAGATTCAACGACAGCAAAGGCTGCGTGGGACACACTGGTTAGATGTTATGGTGGTGACGCATCAGTGAAGAAGGTGAAGCTTCAGTCCTTGAGAAAGCAATATGAGAATCTCAACATGAAGAATAATGAGAAAGTTTCTGAATACATCTCCAGAGTGATTCTGATCACTAATGAGATGAAGGCGTGTGGAGAAACTCTTTCTGAAGAAACAATCATGGAGAAGGTATTGAGATCCCTTACCTCTCAATTTGATTACATTGTGGTAGCAATAGAACATTCCAAAGATCTGAGTACCATGAGGATTGAAGAGCTGCAGAGCAGTCTAGAAGCGCAAGAGTTGTGTTTGACTGAGAGAACTTCTGAAAAAGAAGTAGAGCAGCAGGCTCTGAAAGCAACTTCTGATAGGAGGTATCAGAAGCAGTTAGAAGTCAGGAGAAGATCTGATGGTGGTCAGAAGTCAGAAAGCTCAACCTCTGATAGACAAAAGAATGCACAGAAGGGAAAAGAGAAGTATGACAAGAAGAAGATTCAATGTTACTGTTGTAAGAAGTTTGGTCACTTTGCTAGAGATTGTTGGTCAAACAAGGAGAAGAAATCAGAAGAAGCAAATATAGCCATAAGTTCTGATGACGAATCTGTGCTATTGATGGCCTCTGAATCTGATGATCTGACAGACTGGTGGTATATGGACACTGGCTGTTCAAATCATCTTACTGGAAACAAGAAATGGCTGGTTGACTTTGACTCTGAAAAGAGGACAAAGATCAGATGTGTTGATGACAAATATCTTAATGCAGAAGGTATGGGAAATGTCAGAGTGATTCTGAACAATGGGAAAACAACATTGATTCAGAACGTGTGGTATGTACCTGGCATCAGAAGCAATCTGATGAGTGTGGGACAATTAATTGAGAAAGGTTTTTCAGTTACCATGAAGGACAATCTTCTGAAGGTGTATGACTGGAATCAGAAGTTGATTATGGAGTCAGAACAGGGAAGGAATAGAACATTCAAGGTGAATGTCAGAACTGCAGACTCAGAATGTCTTAGTGCAACATGTGCTGAGAAGGAGAGTGAGCTGTGGCACAGAAGATTTGGTCATTTGAATTTAAGAAGCCTAAAACATCTAAATTCAAAGAAGCTGGTACATGGAATTCCTGCAATTAAGAAGCCTGAGAAGTCATGCAAAGTTTGTATGGAAGGAAAACAACCACGTTTGCCATTTGCGTCAGAAGTTTCTCCAAGAGCAAAACATGCCTTGGGAGTTGTACATTCTGATGTGTGTGGTCCATTTCCAGTAGCATCAATTGGAGGGAATAAATACTTTGTGTTATTTGTTGATGAATTCACAAGAATGACATGGGTATCCCTTATTAAGTTCAAACACGAGGTGTTTGATGAATTCAAGAAATTCAGAATGAAGGTTGAGAATCAGAGTGGTCAGAAGTTGAAGATTCTTAGAACTGATGGTGGAGGTGAGTATAACTCCAAAGAGTTCCAGAAGTTCTGTGAGGAGAATGGAATTGAGCATGAGGTTACTGCTCCCTATACCCCTCAACACAATGGTCTTGCTGAAAGAAGAAACCGTACTTTGCTTGATATGGTGAGAAGCATGCTAAAGGAGAAGAAGCTTCCTCAGAAGCTCCGGGGAGAAGCTGTTGCCACTGCAACGTATGTACTCAACAGATGTCCTACAAAGAAGTTGAAGGAAATAGTTCCTATGCAGAAGTGGACTGGAGACAAACAAAGTGTTAGTCATCTGAAGGTGTTTGGTTCTGTTTGCTATAAACATGTTCCAGAAGCCAGAAGACAGAAGCTGGATGATAGAAGCAAAGTGATGATTCTGATAGGGTACCACAGTACAGGTGCATACAAGCTCTATTGTCCAGAAACCAATAAAATTGAATTCAGCAGAGATGTGATTGTGAAGGAATCAGAAATTTGGAATTGGGATAAGTCTCAATCTGATTCTGATGTTAGAACTTCTGAAGAAAGGTCAGAGTTAAGAATTTCTGAAGTTGAAGTAAACTCTGACGTTGATTCTGACTCTGATAGTGATTATGACTCTGGAGAAGACTCAGAAGATGAAGGTGACTCTGATGATCCAGACTCTGATGGTAATCCAGATTCTAGTGGAAATTCAGACTCTGAAGATGGCCAAGACTCTGAAAATATGCCAGATCTTGAAGATTGTCAAAGCTCTAGAGGAAATCAACCATCTGAAGCTGGAAACTATGAAGCTCAGGACTCTGAACAAGTTCAGAGACCACAAAGAATCAGAAGCGTTCCCAGAAGATTTGCAGAATTTGACATGCTGCAAGACACTGAAGTAGACTCTGAAGGAGAAATTATTCAGTGTGCCATGATGGTAGACTCTGAACCCATAAGTACAGAAGAGGCTCTTAAGCAGAAGCTCTGGTTGAAGGCCATGAAAGAAGAACTTGATGCTATAGAGAGAAACAAGACTTGGAAGCTGACAGAACTTCCAAAAGACAAGAAAGCCATCAGTGTCAGATGGGTTTTCAAGCAGAAGTTAAAGCCAGATGGCTCAATTGGCAAACATAAAGCAAGGTTGGTAGCCAGAGGATTTCTACAAAAACCTGG